CTAAACTAAAATTTAATAGAAAGAATAGAAAAAGTACCTTTTCAACAACATTCAAAACCTGAGAAGTTCCAGGATCCAATGTGGATTCTGAGTGCATTATACCTAAAATTGGAAACACATTTTTTAAAAATAAGTATAAAGTATTACACAGACATTACAATCCAGTTAAGAGAAGTACAGTATGGTCCCCAGCCACTAAGAGACAAAGTAGGGACCCCATCCAGCATCCCACCAGCAGCAATTCAACATCAGTGGTCTTTGCAAATTTAAAGAAGTACACATACGGTAACAGTGCTGCTTTAATACATGTCATTAGTAGTAGTATTATGGAAGGTGTTAGAGTACCTGTTACTTTATCTCTTCAATCCACGAGATCAACGTTGGAAGCCATAAGAAATCCAATTGAAAGAACAGATAATGAGAAAAAAAAAACACAAATTAAACACAGTGAATTATGTGGCTTCCACAAGATGCCGTCAGACATATATACACACAGGTGACACACAGACATGTTTACATTGACACATACTGACATACATGCAAAGATTCACACAGACACAGATCTATACACTGACACACACACACACACTGACAGACATGCAGAGATCCATACACTGACACACACATGCACACACACTGACAGACATACAGAGATCCATACACTGACACACACACACTGACCGACACGCAGAGATCCATACACTGACACCAAGGCACACGTCAAAATACACTGGTAAAATCACTTACTGTAAGTTGTAGTAGAAACGTGATTGCCCTCCGAATGTGTGCCACCGAAGTACCTCTTGCAGAAATCAGTCTGTGGAGGAGCTCCTGTACTTTGACTGGGTACCTCCACCCTGCTCGCTTTCTAGTCGCTTGTTGGGACCCTGGAGCGATTCAATCCTAGTCACTGAGGCTTGACTGGGGTCTCTCTGGAGCTTTTCCACCTGACCAGGTTGCAGGTCTCCTAATAGGCAGGTATCGTCCCTTTTGCCTAATCCACTGCAGCCCTTCTTCCAGGCAGATGTCATCCCCTCTGCCTATTTCTCTGTAGCCCTTCTTCCAGGCAAGTATCGTCCCCTCTGCCTATTCCTCTGCAGCTTTCCTTTCAGGCAGGTATGCACCTCTGCCTGCAATGTGATAGATCTTGTCTATAAAGACACTTGCAGCTCTCAGGCCTAGCTCTCTTTGATTTGCCGCCAGACTAGAAGGATCGTGCAGCCAGGCAATGGGTACAACAACTCTTTTACTGTACTTGGCCATAGGGTTATTATATGTAACGTGTGGTGACAACAATAAATATACAAACAATCAAATCACATCAGACAACATGCAGGAATTTATAATAACATAATGGCATATTTATAAAGGGGTGAGGAAGACAATAATTAACACAAAATACATCTCCTGTCTGCAGAATTAGCAATACGCAAATCTACCTGAATATGCAAATTCAGGCTATCTCCGCTCCAGGTGATGGGATCTGCTGCTGGGGAGGGAGGTTGACACTCTCTGCTCCTGGTAATTCACTTTGTCGATGGGGAGGGGGACCAACTGTCTCCACTCCCGGTAACTCCGACTGCCGCTGGGGAGGGAGGCCGATACTTTTCTCTCCCTGACAAACCAACTGCCGCTGGGGAGGGAAACTGAGCATCTCCATTCCTGACAATACAATCTGCCACTTGGGAGGGAGGCCAGCACTCTCTGCTCCAGATAACTTGAGTTGCTGATGGGGAGGAAATCCGACACTCTCCACTACCAGTAACTCAAGCTGTTGCTAGGGAGGGAGGCCGGATACCTCTACATCCTCTTGTTGGGTTTCCATCCACTGCTGGGAAGGTAGTGGAGTGACCAGGATCCCCATGTCAGGGGGTTGAGGATCTGGGCCAGCTGCTCAGCATCCCTTTAAATCAGGTGTGGAGAATATGGTTCTCTACATTGCTAGCTGTCCAACATCCTCAGATGTAAACCTGTAGACCTGCTGCAGTACAGAGTCAAATAATTGCTTGTAATCCAGTTCAAGCTCCCACTCCATGCTGGCCAAATGGGTCAATCAGGTTCCAGGTCAGTTGCTTATGAGAGATCCAGTGGGTGTTCCCTATTTTCTCAAATGCCATCGAGTCGGAAATTCTCAGGACTTCCGAATTCAACTTTATCCTGAAAGGCTTCCCACAATAGGCCAGGGCCATCATATCCCTCGCCCTTTAAAGGGACATCATCTGCTAGTACCCTTAGCTAGTACTCGTGCTCAGCTAGTACTTTGGCTCTCAGCTATTTGCTATTACTCTAGCTCGGCTAGTACTTCAGCTCTCGGATAGGACTCCTGCTCCTGGCAAGAAATCTAGCTCTTGTAAGGTACTCCTGCTTTTGGCTAGTACTCTAGCTAGGCTGGTACTTTGACTCTTGTCTAGTACCCCAACTTGGCTAGTACTCCAGCTCGGTTAGTACTTCAGCTCTTGACTAGTACTTTTTCTCTTGGCTAGTACTTCTGCTAGGCTAGTTGTCCAGCTTGGCTAGTACTTTTGCTTTAGGTTAGTGTCACGTATTCATCCGCTTATAAAAATGTGGTTAATGACATTTACTGTCCACACAGGAAAAGTTGTGCCGAGCAGCAACCTAATCCACAGAAGGGTTAATGCTGAGCAGCAATTATGCAAATGGAAACCTGGTAACTGACTTTGGGGTCAAAGGCCGGTAACGGCCTATCAGATCTAGAGGAGGGGTATTTAGGCCCAGTTCTCATTCTGCTCAGTGCCTTGTCGTGGTTTCCCTTGTGGTTGTTCGAGAGCGCGTTATTTATTCTGGTATTATGGTTATTTGACTTTGGCATTGTTTTTGACTTTCCTGTTTTCTGGTGTCCCTGACTCCTGGCTTTTCCTTATCGTTGTGTCTCTTTCTGTATGCCTTGACCTTGGCTATTCCTGACAATTCTTTGGTACGTTAGTCCGGCCATTCTAAGGTCTGGTATACGTTACCTATCAGTGTTACACAATTCTACGTGCTGGGTCATACTGTAATCCTGACAGCTAGTACTCCAGTTCTTGGGTAAGACTTCTGATCTTGGCGATGTGGGGATATTTATGGGATAATAATAGTAACAGTGAGAATTGCCCACTAATTCAATTCTCAGATCCCAAAGAACGTTTATCGTGTTAAGTGAGAAGTATTTCATATTAATAATATTCACAATTTATAAAAATAGATTTTATTTTATAATGACAAATTAATTAATAATAATATGTAACATGCGTGATAACAATCAATGAATATCCAGTATAAAATGGTATGCAATACAAAGGAATGGCTAAATACGTTTCAATGGCTAAACAGCATTATCTGTCAAGACTTTATTTATGACTATCTTTCACAGACATAGAGCGAAGCTTTTCACAGCGAAAACCCTTGCTAACAGTTAGAATAACCCTTTCAATGCTGGCTAGATCTTCTAGGTAATTAAGATCTATTCTTATGTAATTTTAAATAAAATAACATTTAAACCAGTTCATTAGTCATTTCCTGGAACCATCCAATAAGAGAATCTACCATGATTTTTACAAAAGCAGAATTTGTTTTTAATTTGCCTAAATAGATCTCTTATCTTATATTAGAGCAAATCAATACACCTGGATAAAAACAGCGGTATGCTAACACGTGATAATATCACATCAATATATAATTATTCTTAATTCCACCTGCAGAATGGAATGTTTATAACTATATATTCTTTAGTTAACTAAGATTTCTTAATATGGAAATCTGACCGTGCTTTATCCAGTCATATATAATGCTATTAATACATTTTAATTAATTTAATTTAATTAAATGAAACCAGTATAATTACCAGTTGAGTAGATATTTCATCCGATTGGTAGATAGTCTCAGGAACTTATTTGGATGTCTGTAGGTGCATGGAGTTATGGTGAAAGGTGGTGTTGGTTAGGAAGTCAGTAAAATTCTAAGTGTTAGAGTTTTAAGAGTAGAGTGTTAGTCTCAGATGTTGTCCGAGTTGGAGTCCCCAAACTTCCAATTCCTCTCTCCTCTTTTTCCTTCTCCTTTGCATACCCTCTATCTTCCCTTTGTCCTAACTTTTAAAGGGCCAGACTCTCTGTACGTCATCAGTTGATAACCCAATAGAAGCACTAGAGGTGTGGTTATCTTCCAGATCGCAATTTAGGTATTTAGTCTATAGAGGGCAGTCTTGTCCCACTAAACATACCTATCCAGGAAAGAGTTAACTTTTCCTGGTGGCTATTTTGACGTCATTTTGGCCTATCTTTATAGTGCCATAACTTAGATTGCTGTCAGATAACAACAGTTTCTTTAAGTTTTGTCCAGACTATGTGTCTGCAAATCTGAGTTTTGACCCGTAACTTACAATGGGACCTTATAGATATAGACAGTTAAATTTTATTATTTAATCTTCTCTGTCACAATTGTCTGGGTTTAGATTTGATTATATTCCATTAGCATTTTAGACAGTCTATCCAACCCCCGTTTCTGCTTATCACTTGTTTATACTATGCATTCCTTTAGCTCTGGGAAAGTGGTTAGTTTACAGACAGAAATCTTGTGTCTTTTTGTTAACTTGGAAATAACAAAATGGAGTCTGCTCTGTTCAGAGTGACTCAGAATATACACTTTTAATTTCTACCATAGCACAAGATGTCTGCCGATATAAATACCCTGACAGCGAGTACTCCAGCTCTTGGGCAGTACTTCTGCTCTTAGCTAGTACTGCAGCTCAGCTGGTACTCCGGCTTTGCCCACTACTCTAGCTGAGCTAGTACTTTGGCTCATGGCTAGTACTGCAGCTATCAGGTAGTACTTAGGCTCTTGGCTAGTAGTCCATCTATTAGGTAGTACAGCTCTTGGCAAATACTGCAGCTCTCGGATAGTATTACACCTCTCAGGTACTACTCCTGTTCTTGGCTAGTACTCTACATCTCGGGTAGTACTCTGGCTCTTGGCTATTACTCAAACTATGTTAGTACTTCTGCTCTTAGCTAATACTCCAGTTCGGATAGTACTTTGGCTCTTGGCTAGTACTCCAGTTCAGCTCTTACTTTGGCTCTTGGCTACTACTCCTGCTCAGCTAGTACTCCTGCTCTGTAGTAGTATTCCGGCTCGGCTAGTACTTCAGCTCTCGGGTAGTACCCGGGTCTTGGCTAGAACTCCAGCTTGGCTAGTTCTTTGGTAGTTCTCCAGCTCGGCTGGTACTTAAACTCTTGGCTAATACTCCAGCTCCTGTATAGTACTCCAGCTCGGCTAGTACTTAAGTTCTTGGCTAGTAACCCTGCTCACCTAGTACTCATTCTCTTGGATAGTACTCCTGCTAGGCTTGTATTCCAGCCTGGCTAGTATTCCATCTCTTGGATAGTACTCCACTTGGGTACTACTCCTGCTTTTAGCTAGTACTCAAGCTCGGTTGGTACTCCAGCTCAGCTAGTATTTTAGCTCTTGACTATTACGCCAGCTCTTGGGCAGTACTTCAGCTCTTAGCTAGTAACCCTGCTCACCTAGTACTCATGCGCTTGGCTAGTACTTCAGCTCGGCTAGTATTTCAGTTCTCGGCTAGTACTTCAGCTCTTGGCTACTGCTCATGCTCAGCTAGTACTCCAGCTCAGCTAATATTTGGGTTCTTGGCTAGTAATTATCATTGGCTAGAACTTTGGCTCTTGGCTACTATTCCTGCTTGGCTAGTACTTTGGCTCTTGGCTAGTACTGCAGCTAGCTCTTGGCTAGTATTCCAGATCGACAGGCACTTTGACTCTTGGCTAGTGCTCTAGTTCTCAAGTAGTATTCCATCTCAGCTAGCAATTCAGCTCTTGGTTAGTACTCCAGCTCTCAGCTAGTACTCCTGCTCAGGTAGTTTTACATGTCTCAGGTAGTATACCGGATCGGCTAGTACTTTGCCTTTGGCTAGTACGCCAGCTCTTGGGTAGTTCTCCAGCTGAGTTAATACTTTGGCTCTTTGCTAGTACTGCATCTATCTGGTAGTACTCCTGCTCTTGGCTAGTACTCTACCTCTCCGGTAATACTCCAGCTCTCGGCTAGTACTTTGGCTCTTGGCTAGTACTCCAGCTCTTGGGTAGTACTCCCGCTCTTGGTTAGTACTCAAGCTCGTTTAGTATTTCAACTAAGCTAGTACTTCTGTTCATGGATAGTATTATGGTTCTTTGCTACTACTCCTGCTCAGCTAGTGCTCCTGCTCTCTCTAGTATTCCGGCTAGGTATCAGAACTTACCTGTCAAATTATCTTCAGCTCTTCAACACAACAAATCTCCGCCCCATTCTCTGTCGTGGCTTTTTCACGACTTATAGAGAAGTCGTGCCAGAATTGAAATTGCTTAGTTAATGTTTTAGGTTACCTCCGTGTTTCTTGTGCTCCTCTTCGTTGTTTCATCGTGTACCGAACTACTGGACTGTATAAACGGATTTCCTGTCATCTCCAATCCCTGATCTCGGACAGTATATCGTTATACCTGCTATGTCAAAAACCTAAAGACCCGGACTGATCTAGGTTATACCGCCTTCTTGATTACAGCTAACCGGCTTGTGGAAGTCTACTCCCATCAAACCTTAAGTATTCTTGTTCTCTATATCTAGGAATTGAATTGTTATTTTGGACTGTATCCTGCTTTCTATCTATCGCCTGCTACAACATTGTTGCTACTAATCTGCTACTGTTGCTTTTACTTCATCTATTGCTTTCATTGCTAATGAATCCTTAAAGCTACAGTACTTGCTTAAAGTTACAGAACTTTTTCCAAAGCTTTGGATCTATCCTAATTGAAATAAATAAGTTATCCATTCTGCAGTTGTGTTCCTCATCTATTCAACTTGTAGCATAACACTAGGCTAGTACTCTGGCTCTTGGCTAGTATTCTAGCTCTCGGTTAGTAATTCAGCTAGCTCTTGAGTAGAACAACAGCTCATATGGTACTTTGGCTCTTGGCTGGTACTCCAGCTCTTAAGTAGTACTCTGGCTAGTGGATAATACTTCGTCTCTTGGCTAGTAGGCCTGCTTGGCTAGTATTTCAGCTCTCGGCTAGTATTCTTGCTCGGTCAGTACTTTGCCTCTTGGCCAGTACTCCAGCTCAGCTAGTACTTTGGCTCTTGGATAGTACTCTAGCGCTTGGATAGTATTCCAGCTTGAAAAGTACCTTGGGTCTTGGCTAGTACTTTGTCTCTCAGCTAATACTCCGACTCTCGGCTAGTATTTCATCTCAAGTAGAACTACAGCTCTTGGCTAGGACTCCAACTCAAGAAGCACTATGGCTTTTGGTTAGAACTCCTGCTTGGTTAGTACTTTGGCTCTTGGCTAGTGCTTTAGCTCGGCTGGTACTCTGGTTCATGGCTAGTAATTTGGCTCATGGCTAGTACTTCAGTTCTTGGCTAGTACGCCTGCTTAGCTAGTACCTCAGCTCTCGGCTATTACTATTGCTTAGCTGGTACTTTGGCTCTGGCTT